TTTTGTCCCACTAATAAACTGATAGTGTGGGATAAATAAGGGAACCCACAGGTTTAGATTGCCATGGCCTGCACGTCCATGCTTTGTGATTTGGGAAATTTAATTGAATGTTTTAACATCAAACCTTGATAAGGAGATTTGCCACTGCCTAAGAAGTGCTTGAGAGTTGGCATTGGCAAGAAAGTTAAACCAAAAATTCTGTGAACATTTTAAATTTAAGGTTTAGACCTTGCTATAATAATTTCGATTTTTTAATCCTTCTGGTTTTAAACTCTTAACCCACTTTTTTTTTTTTACTTTTTGGACAGTTTTGACTGACGCATTTTTCAAATTTGCTGCTGGCTTTGAAGTATTCGGTACAGATGCCCCATTTCTAACAAGGGTATAACAATTGTAATTTCACAGTGTGAAGAATAGACCAGACTGTACTGTTCCCTTCATCATAAGACTTGTGTTGTTGCTTTTTGTTTTTTCCTGGAAACTACAGAATTGATTTTTCTTAGTCCAAAAGACTCTGTCAGAGAAAAATATAGGAACAGCCATCCTGTCAGGATGTAGAATATTGCTGGAGATTGGAAACTGAATTGTTTAGTTTTGCTTTTGTTTTTTGCCTTTGCTTTCACCCCACTCTGTTTCACGGGAAATCTACAGCTTAAAAAAAAATGTAAATGTTTGTTTTACTACTAATTCTCGTGTGCAAACAACTCTCCTAACTCTGCAGTGTTATTTTAATAAAGGTTTATGCTATGAATATTTTAAATGTAACCATTTTTCAAAATTAATTAAAGTCTGTTAATGTAGTTCTAATAAGTTCAACATGCTGCACATCCCACTCTTAGCACTAAAATAAGAATAAAATCTCAGTCTTTGTTCCAGAACATACAGAAAAGTGCTTCTAGTAGGAATATATTAATCTGGGCATAGTTGTTACAAAATATGTTGATACAGAATGTTTGTTAGATTAAAAAGTAATCACTTTTTTTTGCTTCTGCCTCTTGCATGATGATCAGAATCAATGCAGGCTGGGATATAAACACAGGCTGGGGATGCACAGATGGAGCAGCCCTGGGAGAAGAATCTGGGGGTGCTGGTGGCCAAGAGCTGGACCTGCCTTGGCCCCCAGGAGCCCCCCATGCCCTGAGTTGATCCCAGTGGGCAGCAGGAAAGGGGTTGGGATTGTGGCCCTATGCCCTGCTCAGGTGAGACCTCACCTGCAGAGATTCCCCAGCACAGCACAGCAAGGAGCTGGAGCTGCTGCAGAGAGCCCAGAGGAGGCACCAGGGTGAGCAGAGGATGGGAGAGCTGGGATTGTTCAGCCTGGAGAGGAGAAGCTTCGGGGTGACACAGTTTGTGGCCTCAGTGCCACAATGGAGCTGCAGGAAAGATGGAGAGAGACTTCACAAGAGCCTGGAGTGGCAGGAAACTGGGAATGGCTTCACACTGACAGAGGGCAGGGTTGGATGGGATATTGGGAAGGAATTGTTCCCTGGGAACGCGGGCAGGCCCCTGGATCCCTGGCATTGTCCAAGGCCAGGCTGAATGGGGTTGGAGCCACCTGGGACAGTGGAAGGTGTCCCTGCCCATGGCAGGGAAGTGGAACCAGATGATCTTTGAGCTTCCTTCCAGCCCAAACCATTCTATAACTCTGTGATTCCATCAGTTTTGGGGATCTGCCTGTTTGCTGACACAGCTGGAGCAGCCCCAGAGCTGGGAATTGGCAGCTTGGCATGGGGGGGTCCATGAGTTCTGTGTTCCTGTGGTGGCTCCTGGGCTCTGCTGCCTGAGGTGCTGTGTGTGTGTGTTTGCAGACCAGAGCTTCTCTTTAGAGGTATCACTTCCAGGTCTTGAAGTCTGTCTGCTATGGGCGAGTAGGATTGGAAAAATAACACTGCAGGGGGAAGGGATGGTCAGTAGAGGAACGGGAACAGAGACAGTGAAATAAGAGTTTCCCTCTCCTGAAGGGAAGAGGCTTAGAAGAAGTGAAACAGTCTGTGTATCTTTAGATCTTTTAAGTGGCAATGCTCCATCAGACTCAGGGTCTGGGGGTTTTAAGCAGGTGTTATTTTCTCTTCAGGACAGAAAAAGCAAAGAGCATAATGCCTTAGATGCTTGTGCTGGCATTTTAATAGAAATCCTTCACCAACAACATAGAGGGACTTGGCTGCTCTTGTGAGTCCAAGAATGAGACTGTGGTGGGTGGAAATACAGGAAGACATTTAAAAAGAGTGTCATTGCTCACTGCTATGAAATAATAATAGTACTAATAAACTTAGTGTCTTTGTGGTGGGGGAGAAAGTAAAATAATTTTTTTGAGTCTAGATAATTATAGAAGGATCATGTAGACAGACAAAAAAATAAAAGGAACATTTTTCAGAAACAAAAGTAAGAAAACATACATGTTCATTGAGGTTGGAAAAGTCCTCCAAAGCCATTGAGTCCAACCTGTGAGTGATTCCCATCTTCTCAACCAGCCCAGAGCCCAGAGTGCCATGTCCAGACACTCCCTGTCCCCTCCAGGGATGGGCTCCACCCCAGGCAGTCTGCACGTTCTCAGCTTGAAGACTGCCCTGAGCAGAGGCTGTTCTGTAACAGAAAACAAGTTGGCACAAACTGTGGAAGGAAAAGATGCAGGAGAACTTCTTGCATCTCTAACTCCAGTATTTCATAAAATGTCCGGATCCAGCAACCAGTGCATGGTACATAATGGTTCTTTCCAAGCACGTGGCATAGTTTTTGTGCTTTCTCTGAAATTCAGAGTTGGCCATGCATGTTTTAGCCTGAGCTTTTAGGTTTAGTACTGGCAGGCTCTTGTGAGCTATTTTTTTATACCTGCATCAAAATTGTGACTTTGACAAGCTGTGCTGTGTGATGCAGTCACCATCATGAAAGTGTAATTGTTCCTGTAATGCACTTAGAGCAGGCATTTAGCTGCTGGGATAATAAGCACTGTGCAGCCAACAAAACAGCACAGCCACACTCCGTGTGCCTTTCCAGTGGTACAAAATACAGCTGAACTGGGCCAGAAATAGCAACTTTCCTTACAGCCATGGTACAAATGATTCACACAGGTGACCGAGAAAGACTTTCAGAGGTGCTAAGCTAAAAGCTGAAATTTTGGGGTTTTCTCTTCTAGGGGCTTCTTTGGAGGTGCTGTGTTGTGGTAGGAGGGTATTTGAGTGGCCCAAGAGGCAGCACATGCACAGGAGCTGCACTGTGTGTCCTAAATGCTGCATATGTGGAGTTCAGCTGCTGCTGTAGGCTGGGGTAGACCAATAATCCCAGCTAATGCACTTGCTGTGAAATTCAGTCTTCCTGGGCATCTTGGAACCACTGTTCCTCTTCAGAAAGTAAATATTGAATACAGAGGATCGTTTTTATGTAGGATTTGTCATTAGATTAATTAGGTGTTAACTCTACAGAACAGGCTTTGGTTCCTTGTTGATGACTGATGGGATTTTAACCAATGTAAATATGCTTGCCTCCATCAGTAGCTCAAATTCTTAAATTTTAGATGGACATTGCTGTTCCCGAGATCACAGAATCATGGAATGGTTCAGGCTGGATGGGACCTTAAAGATAATTTCATTTTAACCCCCTGCCGTGGGCAGGGACGTCTTCCACTATCCCAGAGTGCTCCAAGCCCCATCCAACCCAGCCTGGAGCACTTCCAGTGATCCAGGGGCAGCCACAGCTTCTCTGGACACCCTGTGCCAGGGCAGCACCACCCTCACAGGGAGGAATTCCTTCCCAATATCCCACCTAACCCTACTCTGTGTCACTCCATGCCTTGTCCTGCCCTTCCTCAGGTCCCAGTGAAGGAAGGAGGCTCCTCCCAGCAGCAGAGCTGGGCACTGGAGTGACTCCAGAGCTGCAGACACAGAACCAGCTCCGGGCCTGGCTCCTTAATCACCTTAATCTGATTTCCCTGCAGGCTGTTGCCAGAGGAGCCAGCACCCTGCCCTGCTCCAGGCTCTGTATTCCACCTGTGTCTCTGCATTTGGGAAGGGCTGATGGAAGGCATTAATGGAAATTGTCCTGAAGCAGAAATTCCTGCTATATTTATCTTCAGTAATTCTTAGTGCTGCTGTACTTGAGCTCTGCCACAGCTCTTTTAGTTCATTCAGAGCTGCATTCATTATAGATAACACAACAGCTGGACTATTCTTTTCTAACTCAGTCTTGGGCTGAAAGTGCCAGTAATGATAAATTCTGTAAAAATGGGACTTTAACTGCAGTCTACAAATTACTTTCCTTCACAGCAAGTTCTGATTTTACACCTGTGCTTCCATATGTGGCATTGACTTGTGCCATACATCTTTATTTACCACTTCATGGAGAAACACTGGTAGTTAAGTACAAACAGCAGGAGGCTTTTAATGATGACCTTGATCTTTCTGGGAAATTTGGAAAGCAGTTGGAAGTAGGGCTGCTTTGTTGGGAGCATGAAGGATATCTGGATTGTGCAGCTCCCTGAGGCAATGTCTTTCTTTTCATGGCCTCACTGTGTTTTTCCCCTCCACAGAGCTACTAAGAAAAATCCTACGTTGTGGAATAGTCGACTAGATCCTACTGGGATTCAAGTTACATTTAAATATGAATATTATAAAATGTCAAGAGTGAAATATAAAGAGAATTACGGGAATAATTGGGTTAGCTGATACACTGCTTTGACCTGAGAGGACATGCACTGGCATTCTTAAACAGTGCAAGAAGTTTATCACTCCAGTCTTGGAGATGGTAGAAGTATTTTGAGCCTTTAATGTTTGTTTAGAGGATTTGGAAATGATCCAAAAGCTGGCACCTGGAAATGTTGGTTGGTTCTTACTGAAATCAGTGTCAGCAGAGATGAAGTTTCACTCCCCTTTGCTGGCTGTGTGTGGAACGGCTTGAGGCCCATGCTCTAACAAAAAACACAACGAAGAATAACCAGTGAAGAAGCAGCAAATGTTTCCTTTCTTTCCCCTTTGTGTCCTGGAGAACTCTGGCAGTCTCCTTGTGATGCCTTGTGAAAAAGGCATCAATCTGCATAGAAATAAAGTGTTTGGGTATTTAGGATCGTGACCTTGCCTGTCTCTGTGTGTCTGAGAACGTCCTGTGTTTGTTTTCAAGAACAAGCCCTTTCTGCTGGCCCAGGTGAGGCTGAGCAGTGACTCAGTCACTGCTGCCACGTCCCCACCTGGGAAGGACCAGTCCTGCTGTGGTGTGCCCTTTGCTGGCTGGAGGGAGATGGGGCTTGCTGAGGCACAAATTTCACTTTAAATGTTGCTTTTCAATAAGTAAAGGGTTCCCTGGAGGTTTTGGAGCAGAAAGGAGCTTTTCTCACAAGGAGCTGGCTCATTCATCACAGGGCCCTGTGAGGAATGGCCACTCTGGCAAAGGTAGCAAGGGTTCAACTGAGAACTCCTGTGTGACTGAACCTGTAACTGTTGTTCTTTATATTCCAGCTGCTCCTTGCAAAGCAGCCTGTTTTGATAAGTAAAGACTTTTTTGCAGAGTGTCTGTTTTTACCACAGTCTGATGGTCCATATGCTAAAGAGGACAAACTAGCTGAGATACCATCTGAAAGTGGGAATAATCACGGGGATGCTGTCATGTGCTGCTGGGGGAGGGTTCTGAGCTGTGGGAGAACACTTCGAGTTTACTATTTGTTTTTCAGAAGAGGAGAATAAACACAGCCTGAGCAGATTGCACCAAAGCCTGACTTAGGAGCAGTGCTGAGTGAGAGTTTTCCTTGCACTGTTCAAAATGCTGGATTAAGCTCAGAAAAGTCATTAGACAAACATCTGAAGTAGAGCAGATCTATAGAAAGTCCTAAATTGGTAAAACTACCAGTAGATTAATTGGTCCAATTTCAAAATATGCCTTACTTGAATGAATAAAGAAGATATTTTATTAGACAGCTGTGCATTTGGCAGTTTTTAATTTGTTCTCTTGGGGAAATCTGTCTCTCCTGCTCTGCTGCTGGATGGTTTCTGTGATCCTCTACCACTAGATGTTGCTGTGTGAGTGATTGATGTAATCTTATCTGATGCTGGATGGATTCATCCCTGAAGAAAAGGAGGAGATACCACTGAAACAGCATTTCTGCCTGTTCTGAAATTTGTATTCTGAGACTTTTGGCCTGAGACATTTTTAGAGTTTATTGGCTCTGTTACATTAGTCATAAAGGTTGTGTCTCTCTTGAATACCCAGCAGTGTGCTGATTATTGTTCCAAATTTGGCAGGGTTTTCTCTTCAGGTGTGTCTGTAGAGCTGCTGGTCTCAGCAGAGAGGAAAAAAGGCAACAAAATGTAACTTGGCCAAAAACGGTTTTGCAGCAGCTCTGTTCTATAGCATCTGTGGCTTTTCATTCAATGAAAGATATCAGGGGAAGAAAATTTCTATACATACCAGCATGAGGAAAAATCAATTTTCAGGGGAAATTCTTGCCTTTGGCTGTTTTTTAAGCGTTCACCTTGTTGGTGAAGGATTACTCACCTCCTTGGGGGTTTGCTGTGTTTATTCTGCACAGAAGTCGACAAATAGAAAAGCTCCATCAGGGTGAACTGAAGTTATCCTAAGGAAAATTTTCATTGCATGGATAGTGTAAACTCCCTGAGACTGAAGTAAAGCTGGAAAGGAATCTACAAGTGAATAAAACAAGAAGTTTGGAATTGGATTTGGGGAATCTGGGCTTGGAAATGCCTCAGGTAAGTCTGCTAGGATTTTATTTGCTTCTGTAAACAATTTTGCCTCTGTTTAAGAACAAATTTGAGCAGAATTGGGAAGGAAGACGTGTAAGAAATTAAAAGATGGATATTTTGTAGGGTCCCTGTAGTGTCTGTGGTGGAAGCTGTGGTGCTGCTCTTGCTCCTGTGTTTGTTCAAGCTTCAGCCACGTTCTCTTGGTGAGGGAGGGTGCCTGGAGAGCAGAACAGCCTTTTATTACTGCAGTGATTCACACTCAGCACACTGAATGACTTTCAGCAGCACAGTGTTTCTCCCTTCCCAACCCTCAGGGTGAGAGTGTCTAGAAGAGAAATTGAGGTCTGGAATTAAATGTAGCAGAAGGCCTTGCTGCCCATTCCCTGCATGCCCAGTCATCCTGCATAATGCTTTTTTTGCCAAATTTCACTTTATTCTTGAGAGAGAGGTAACAGTTTTGATTTAGTTGTTATAAATTTTGCTTTCCTTACAATTTCATATGGAAGTTTTATGAGTTCTGATGGCTCTAAACACAGCACTGCTGTTGTATTAAATGATTTGTATTAGAGGGACTCCCAGATCTTGCCAGGACTGGCCCTCATCCTCTACAAATGCTAACATATCCCAAAACTTGGCATACATAAGACTTTGAAACCAACAGGGAAGAAAGAAGGAGCAGTGAATGCTCTTACAGCTCTGTGGTGTATAAAAATGTGTGCTTTGATTGCTCCTACATGATGTCAGCTGCTCTTGAAGCATTCTCTGGCTCTGAGGAATGATGTGCTTATCTGTGGTGGTAAAAACCTTTGGAGACTAGGAGGAAATTGTGATCCTTTTTCTATTTGTTGAAGACGAAAATGTGCCTTTTTTATATCGTGTCTGAAATGTCTGTGTGTTGTGTTGTAGCCCAGTGTGAGTGGAATGGACCCTCCTTTTGGGGATGCCTTTCGGAGCCACCTGTTTTCAGAGCAGACTCTGATGAGCACGGATGTCCTGACGAGCAGCTCGGATCCAGACTTCATGTATGAACTGGTAGGTCACCTGTGTGTGCCCTGACTTTCATCTCCTTGTCTGACACCACTTCCTGTAGGAATAAAGGGGTGTTGGTTCGAGAATGCAGAGAAATTACTCGTTATTCTGGCTGTTGATTAGGGAAGTGCTGGACTGCTTGTCCAGCAAATGTGATGTTTCCTCAGCAAGCACTTCTTCAAAGTGGCCATTGGGACAGGCTCAAATCCACCTTCCACTAGCCCAGGGTGCTCCAGCCTGACCTTGGACACTTCCAGGGATGGGGCAGCCACAGCTTCTCTGTGCCAGGGCATCACCACCCTCACAGAGAACAAACTCCCCCTGCTATGTTCTACTTCACCCAAGCTGTGAATGCAGAGGAAGGAGAATAAAAGTTGACTCACAAGCTACTTACATGAGCATTCCCTTTTTCATTTTCTCCCTGCATCAAAGGAGAAAGGTCACTCGTGGTCATTAATTGGTCGTTTTAGAATGAGGTTTTCCAGGTACTGGTAAACTCGAGCATATTCTGTTAAGCACACAGCAAAGGTTGACCTAGATTATAGAGGTGCCTGTGATGTCTTTCATATTTTAAATACATGGATATTGGTACTGGTTCAGTTCCTGATGAGCAGATGGATTTGCAATACCAGGAAAATACAGTGTTATAGGAAGAGCAGTGTCTTCGGAAAGATCTGTTGCTGAAGCACAGGAACTTCATTCTGACCTTCAACAGAAGCTTTTAGTTGAAGGTTGAGGTCTCTTCCTATGTCACCACTCTCTCATACTTCGCTGGAATTGAGCTCTCTTTACCAGGTTAAGTAGAGGAAAGAGATGATGCATACTTTTTTTTATATTAACTTTTAACTTAACTTTAACAGGACAGAGAAATGGACTATCAGCAAAGCTCCAGGGACAACTTGCTTTTCATGGAGGACTGCAAAGACCTTGAGAACCTGGAGTCTTTTACAGACATCCTGGACAAAGAAGCTGCTTTCACTTCCAAGTGGGAGCAGTGGGATACCTACTGTGAAGACCTAACCAAGTACACTAAATTAACCAGCTGTGACATCTGGGGGACAAAAGAGGTGGATTACCTGGGCCTTGATGACTTTTCAAGCCCATACCAGGATGAAGAGGTGATAAGCAAAACACCCACACTGGCTCAGCTGAACAGCGAGGACTCCCAGCCTGTCTCAGATTCACTCTATTACCCTGATTTGCTCTTTAGTGTAAAACAAAACCCTTTAAATCCTTTGTTACCTGGCAAAAAGATGGCGAGCAGAGCCGCGGCGCCGGTCTGCTCCTCCAAGAACGTGCAGGCCGAGGCCGCGCTGTCGGACTGTGCCCAGAAGGCCAGCAAGCCTGGCAGCCAGCCTGCTTCCAGCACACAGATCATGGTCAAGACCAGCGTGTACAGCAGTGAGAAGGTGAACATTCACGTTGAATGTAAAGACTATGTTAAAAAGGCAAAAGTAAAGATCAACCCCTTGCCGCAGAGCAGGCCGGTGCTGAGCCAGGCGCACGCCGACGCGGCCAAGGAAAACACCTGCTACTGTGGGGCTGTGGCAAAGAGACAAGAGAGAAAAGGACTCGAGTCCCCCCATGGTCACAGTACAAATCCTGGGCTGCCTTTCAAAGAGACTCAAGAGCTGCTGCTCAGCCCTCCCCAGGAGAGCCCCGGGCTGGCCGTGGGGGAGAGCAGCCTTTCCGCCAGCGCGTCCGTGTCCGACTCCTCGCAGAAGAAAGAAGAGCACAATTATTCTCTTTTTGTAACAGACACTTTGGGTGAGCAGTCGGCCAAAGCAGACCCTGAGGAAGAGGAGGAGGATGAGGATGATGTTGAAGATGAGGACCACGATGAGGGGTTTGGCAGTGAGCACGAGCTGTCTGAAAACGACGACGAGGAGGAAGATTACGAGGACGATAAGGACGACGACATCAGCGACACCTTCTCAGAACCAGGTACCAGCGTGGTTGGGTTTGGTGATGTGCAGGTTCATGGATTTGTCCTCTGAGTGGGAAGGAAAGCTTTTCAACTCCTGCTAGTTACAGATGAGCAGCACTGATCTTAAGTTGTGAACTCTCCTCCTATATTTTCTAAGTGCTTTCCAAAATGCAATTTATTCAAATTATGCAAAGTCTCTGTTGGCCTATTTCATGAGAAACTGTGGTCGTGGAACAAAAATAATAATAGAGAATACAGGAAGCCCAGCTGTAGCCTGAGGTTAAAGCAGCTGCCTGCAAGTGTGGTCTTTTTTTTTTTTTTTTGTAGCTCTCTGGTAGGATGTGCAGGGTTTTCTTGTGGCTGTGAATTTATCCAGAGTTGGATCTGTCAGGATGAACTCACATCCTGAGTGAAATAATTTCATAATTACTTAAGTTCCTACTTTCAAGTGGAGTTTTTCCACAGAATCCAAAGAATGACTGATATTAATAGAATAATTTATTGTTGGTTTTCAGCAGTAACACTTAGTGGGACTTGAGAGGATACTGAATTCCTCTCTCCTGCCTGTAGAAATGGAGTTCTAACTGCAGGAATAAGAACTAACCTTCACCTAGAAGGTAAAAATAAAATTGCACAGGAAGCAGCAGGATTGTAGCCAAGTATTAATTTCATTTCAGAAAGTATTACAATGTTCACATCTTACAAATGCCCTGTAGTAGAGTATAAGAATTAAAGTGTTCAGACATTTGGCAATATGTAACTTAGAGGGGGAGAAAGCAGCTGTAATTTTTCCTTGTTGAGAACAGCAGATTCCCTAAAGCTTGTCAGTGTTTGTCATAATGAACTCTCAGATGAAATTATTTTCTAATTAGATTTCCTGCGTTGGCATTAAACTCGTTAAGCATTCTGCCCTCTATGCTACTTTCACATGCACACAACACATTTTTATTAACATTTTGAAGCCTCTTGCTCCCTTCTGGAGTGAACTCCCTCTGCTTTCTGTTCCAGCTGTGCAGCCCATGGGGGATGTGTTGCACTGGGAGCCTGGGATCCATGAAAAAAAGATTTTGTGTTAAATGCTGTGGATGGAATTAATTAACTTAATTAACTATTTTACTGACCAGCAATCCACATTCTGCAGCAGTAGCTGAGGATCTGGGCTTATCCAAGCTTGCCAAACCCTTCCATGAATGAAGCCTAAAACCATTAACCTAAAGTGTGATGATATTAAAAATTTCATCATGTACTTTGTCTATTTTAGAAAATAACATCTCCAGGTATTCTAATTATGTCACTCTTGTACTTTGTGTTACTTTTTTACTTCTAAAGGTAAATACTATGGATAAAGTATCTAAAAATAGGCACAGCACAGGAAGATTTAACTTTTCACAGCTCTGAAAGCAAAATCAGTGGGTATTTTGAGTAAGGATATAATTTACTGAAAGGACAAAAATCTATTAGTTATTGCTGGCCCTCTGATGTTTTTTTATACATAATTTGCTTTTGGTTATTCTTCACATATGCTTTTAGAGTGAATGAAATGCTTTCTTCATTTCTTCACTTTCTTCAAGTGTTATCTGAGGAAATATTTAGATATAGTGAAGGAGAAATAGCTAAAAATGTGACTGGCTCTCAGGCAAGTTTGCACAACAGTGTTTTTATTATCACCATGACACAGATTTAGCAATTTTGCAATTGTAAAAAAAAGTAGTTTATTATGGGAATTACCAGCCCAGTCCTTTTCTAGCATTTAAAGGTAGTGGTTTTTTTATTACTGAGTATATTTTTCCTATCTCATTTAGTAGAAAAACTTTTAAATGAACTGTTCCTGCCATCAAGTAGTCAGGAGATTCCAGAAATGGGAAATGCAGCAATTTATTTACTTGTCAGTAGCACTGGAGAAGAAATGAGTGAAAAAGTGCTCCTAGAGACACAGAGATTGTTTTAAGCAGCTGCATTAGTTCAGTCTGAGCACCTGGAGCATCAGCTGGGGGAAAAACCTCTGGAAATTATTTGCCAGAAGCCTCAGTGGTGAAGAGGAGGAGTTCTCTGGGTTTGTTTCATGGGGCTATTTTTGGGTTTCACCTGGTGAGATGCAGAAGTCACGTGCATGCTGTTCTCTGTTCTGCTTCACTGAACCCTGGTGAATTTAAACCTGAAACCACAGGGAGGGATGTGAAGAATGACTTTCAGGAGGTTCTTGTATTTAAGTCTGAAGGGCTTCAGAGTTAAATACAAGAACCCTTTCAGATTCCTTAGAAGCCTGCCCTGCTGTGTGATCTTTGCCAAGGGGAGAAATAAATACAGAGGTGCTAAATAAATGCAGAGCTGCTAAACAAGTTTGTGTGTTAGGTTAGGACACTGCACTGGATTCTTTTATGTAACTTTATAATGGTAGCAGGTCAGTGTTGGGCTTGCAAGGCAGGATGTATTAAGTCAATGTAATTGAAGTTGCTAACTTAATTACAGTTTGAATAAGCAAACAGGAAGTCCTGATTTTAACCTTGTTGTACATTTGTACACTTCAGCTCTTACAGAGATTTGTTTTCATTGCTTGGATTAATTCTGTGTTATCATGAAGATGGGCTCAATTTATATATTTCTGTATAATGAGTTACATAGCTTTTTTTTTTAGGTGAAAGGTCAGTGGGCTTTTTGAGTGTATTTTGATACTTTCATCAAATAGCATTTGAGTAAAATGGAGCTACAGATACAAATATTTATGGTATATGAAACTGTATTTTATGTAAATTGTCAATAATTTTGGCTATACAACACAAATGTTTTATAAAGCATGTTTCATTGTTTGGTTTGCCTATAAAATCCTGCCATTCCAATAAACCAGAGAATCCAAGCAAATGAGTTGATGAAATGATGAGAAACAGAGCTTGAGGATGGATTTCATCCTTCTGCATACCTGACTTCTATTTGTGCTTTGGGTTATGGTGTGAGAGACCAAAGCAAGAAAGTTTGTTTTTCCTCTTTCAGCTGGTTTTTCAAGTGCAAACAGACTAATTGAATGGACTGTTTTAAAAAGAAGAAAGTGTTCTTTGTGCTGCTGGAAGATGAAGCAGAGCTGAAGCATATGGGGTCAAGGCTTGCTAAGCCTGCACACCATGCATGGTGGCTTTTCCTTCAGCTCCATCAGAACATGTGATGTTTAGAAATGCTCCTTTTCAAAGCAAATGTAAACTATTATTTAGCATTTTAGCACAAAGGGCCATGCAGTGGTTTGAGATTGTTTTTTTAACTTCACTATAGCTTATCTTTATTTTTGAAATACATCTGGGGTTTGAAAACCCGTGGTTTGTGTTTACATAGTTATGGTCAAATATTTCTGTGATGTGGACAGTGGCATTATAATTTCCAGGTCCTTGATGAGCAGTTCATGATATCAAGTGAGTTATAATTCACCTCTAAAATATTGTACAGCTTTACTGAGGATCATTTCTTGTTATCCCACTAAAGAGGAGGAAGAGGTTGAACAGTGGGTCCAGATCCCTTCAGTTTAGATGGTCCTTTGGTCACTGTCCTCATAACAGAGCCCCTTTCTCCAGCCTAGGAGGAATCAGTGCTTGGATTTATTCCCTGCAGGTCTTTGGACTCAAGGAGCAGCAGGAGTTGGATTCAATCCTGTGGGACTCAGAGTAATTGAATAATCTTTTCTTTATTGTCTTTTGCTAGTCCATCTTTATTATCTGCTTCTCTTTCCATGCTTTTGTCAAATGTGGAGGTGAGTTAGGATTGTGTTCTTGCCAATCCACGGAGAAAATTGTCAGGATGGGAGAACGTGGTCCAACATCTGTCTGTACTTGGCACTGCTGGGATTGTGGGGCACTAGAGCTTAGGGGGTCAGAGAGCACAAAGGGACTTTAAATGCATAAATAATTTGGGTTTTTCAACTAATGAAGGCCCATCAGTGGCTCAGTGTCTATCCTGGATTTAAGGCAAGTACCCAGGAGCAGTTGAAATCTGTTAGATAATGCAAAACAGATCTGTCTGTGGTTCTGCTCTTAACTTGAATCCTCAGTCCGCTGCTAAAGGCCTACAAACAATTCTGTCACCAGCATATAAACAACCCCCTGCATCCTTTTAGGGTATGAGAACGATTCTGTGGAGGATTTAAAAGAAATGACTGCAATATCCTCTCGGAAAAGAGGCAAGAGAAGATATTTCTGGGAGTACAGCGAGCAGCTGATGCCGTCCCAGCAGGAGAGGATGCTGAGGCCATCCGAGTGGAGCAGGGACACCCTGCCCAGCAACATGTACCAGAAGAATGGGCTCCACCATGGTAAGAAATCCTCATCCCGCTCACCAGTGACTGTCTTCTCCTTGTGACACCTTCAGCAGCCAAATTTCCCTCCTTGCAAGTGTTGAGAAGTTGTGTTTTGGCACAAATTCAAGCGCTGTAAGTCTGTTAAGGCTGCTCTGCAGTGCCCAGGGAGGCACAGTGAACACACAGTAGGGACTTTCAGTGTGGTTTCTTGCAGAAGAGTGTGCATGAATTGAGAATTGTGACTTCCAAGGGCTCTCAGTGGAAACCCCGAGAGTTCAAAGCTTTCTCAGTGTGATACTGTAAATATTGGATGGGTGGCTTGACTGAGGTCTGCTGCTCGTGGCTCTTGCTGTCAGTGCTGCCTGTGTTAGGAGGCTGGGAGGGCTCTGGGGTGCCAAGTTCAGGGAGCTGTGCTATGAGCTGAGGACAAGCACTAAGGCACAACTGTCTCTCTCTGCTCCTCCCTCCTTGTTTTCCCCTTCTGAAAGCAGCTCAGTGAAGCAGTTACTCCTCTGGGAATAAACTATTTCCTTAAGATGCCCTCTTAGAAACTTAAACCAGTTGCTCTAATAACTGTGATTTATTCCCAGTGAGCAATTACTGTACCACGAACATGATTAACATCACCCAAAACAAACCACTCTAAGGGGTATTTTTGTTTTCTTGTCACAGGGCCTCTTTTAGGCTCCTCCATTTGATTTTGGCTTTGAAGGAGCAAATTAAACCAACTTCCCTGGTTGTAAGGTTAATGTTCCCTTAGAGTTGAAAATTACTGCTTTTAACATGGCAATTGGCCTTCTCTTAAATCAAAAGATTCTGTTGTTGTTGCTGTTACCTGTAGATTTATTCAGGGAAGAAAGCAATTTTTTCTTTAAATCTCCTTAGTTTTTAAAAGCTTCTTTATCCTGTAATGAAACATCAGTACCTAAAGCCCCTATCACTGCTCTTTCTCGTGGTGGAGCTCTGAGCAACCTGGTCTAATGGAAGGTGTCCTTGCCCATGGCAAGGGGGAGAAAAAGATGAGTTTAAGGTCCCTTCCAACCCAAACCATTCTGTGATTCCATTATTTTATATATTTGTTATTAAACAACCAATAACCAAACATGCCTTGAGGATTCAATCCCACCAGATACTTGGATACTTGACCTTTAAGTCAAGTGTAAAACCAGGCCTTAAAGAGCTTCAAATACACGTAATAAAAGGGGTTAACTGGCATTTATCATTTCATCATTGAATATTGTTTCAGCACCAAGCCTCAGCACTCTTTTCTTAGTACAGAACTTTAGCAATTAGATTATTTAGGAGTTTAATTCACTGGAATGTGCAGGAGGATATTTTGGCTGAATAGGAGTTAACAAGTTTACAGCTGGAGCAAAACAAGAGAGTTTGAACTTGTGGCATACATTTTTCAGCAGAGTTGTGTGTATGCTCTGTGTCACATCCAGTGGCCTGGCCAGCAGTATTTGCTCTTATCTGATCTGGATAGAATATGAATTGTACAAAGCTCTTTATCTGGAAATGCTCTTTCTATTGTGAGAGGCCATGGGGATCACCTGATTCCGGCCCATTCTCATGCAATGAACAAAAGAACTTCAACTGCACCCAAAAATGCCTATTTTGGAGCGTTTTCTCACAGGTTTGTGTATGTATTATGTCACTTCCCTACCCATTTTTCTGCACATCTAAAACAGGAAAATATGCAGCCAAGAAGTCACGGAGGACTGATGTAGAGGACCTGACTCCCAACCCCAGAAAACTCCTCCAGATTGGTAACGAGCTGAGGAAGCTGAATAAAGTGATCAGTGACCTGACACCCGTCAGTGAACTGCCCTTAACTGCCAGACCCAGGTCAAGGAAAGAAAAGAACAAGTTGGCTTCCAGGTATACATTGGGTAAAGCTGCAGGGATGAGAAAATTTGGATTGTTACAAGTGAATGATAAAGATCTAAATAAATTTTGCATGAAGAAATTCTGCTTCATGTGGCAGCTCCTGCAATGGGAGTTGCAGTTTATCAAATGGGAATTACCAGATTATCAAATGGGAATTGCAGTTTATCAAATGGGAATTACCAGTTTATCAAAAAGCAGAGCAGCTGGCACTTTGGGAGCTGTGGTTTGTCTGTCCCCTAAATGAGGATGTGTTTCCACTGGAATTGGCTTCCTTTGCTGTGGGGCAAACAGCTGGGCCAGTGATAAATTCCACAAATGTTAAATGGGAGAAAATGCAGGTAGCAGAGTGTTTTCAGTGAAGCTGAGTGAGGATGGATGAGTTTATGCATCACAGTTCTGGGAGGGTTGGTGGATGAGTTTGTGGCTCTTACTGCTCTGGAATTTCTGGTAGTGTTCTAATTCTTCCCCTCTTCTTGCCATAGGGCTTGTAGACTAAAAAAGAAAGCCCAGTACGAAGCCAATAAAGTAAAACTCTGGGGTCTCAACACGGAATATGGTAAATACAACTCTTCACATCTTATTCTTTCTTTTGTTTGGGCAATTCTGTGTTTTACACCATGATGTAACCTGGCTCACAAAGAGTTGGTACAAACTCAGCAATTCTGTTGGTACAAAACCAGCTCATTGAATAAAATGAATGGAAATTGGGTTGCCTGCAATGTTGAACTACTTTGCAGATGTAAATTATGTAAATGTTTGCATGTGCTGTAAATATTACTGAAAATATTGGTAATACTTGATGTAAACTATTTAATTTTACAGTAAGTGTGATGTGAGACTTCTGACACAGATAGCTGTGTGTGGATAACTGTGAATCCCTTCCAGGGGAATGTGATATAAAGCTAATTTTTTTTTTTTTCTTTGCAGATAATTTACTCTTTGTCATCAACTCCATTAAACAAGAAATAGTTAATCGGGTGCAGGTACCTAAAGATGACAGAGGAATCAACATGGAACAAAAGTTGAACATACTTATTAAAGACACTCTTGGTAAGCAATGAGCTTTGTGTATTTAAATGAAAGTAGAGAATCATAAATGCCCTGAGTTGGAAGGAGCCCCAAAGCTCATCCCATTCCACCAGGGACACCTTCTACTGTCCCAGGATGATCCAAGCCTGTCCAGCCTGGCCTTGGGCACTGCCAGGGATCCAGGGCCAGCCACAGCTTCCCTGGGCACCCTGTGCCAGGGCCTTGCCACCCTCCCAGGGAACCAAAATCCCATCCAGCCCTGCCCTCTGGCAGTGGGAAGCCATTCTTCCATCACTCCAGGCCTTCTAAAAAGTCTCCATTTTGTTGCCTTATTCAGACACTGGAAGGGCACAGTGAGGTCCCCCCAAAACTTCTCCTCTCCAAGCTGCACAATCCCAATTCTCCCAGCAGAGCTGCTCCATCCCTCTGATCTCACTACATTCAGTTACAAACCTTTTCTGAAATCAACAACGAACCCTTCCCTGATTGCACCTGTCCCAACCCCAGTGTCCCCTGTGAGCAGTGCCCTGAGAGCAGCTTGTCTCCCGTGCCTTTCAGGACTCCCTGTAGCTGGACAGACATCGGAGTTTGTGAACCAGGTGCTGGAGAAGACGGCAGAGGGAGACCCCACGGGCGGCCTCGTGGGGCTGCGGATCCCCACGGCCAAGGTTTAGGACGGGGCTGCAGCTGCTCCTGCCCAGGTTCTGCCCCTGCTGTCGAGTTCCTCGTTGTAAATGGCAATTCTGGTCTGCATGTCAGCTTTTAGCATTCTGTAAACACTCACCTCTAGGTTCCATTGGTTTCAAGTAACAGTGTAGGAAAACGAATCACGGCGTGGTAGAAAATGCTGCAGAGCATTTTTGGACCATAAACCAGATTGTTTCAAAGCTGCTTTAAGCTCAAGGGCAGAAATGAGAGTTCTCTTTCAAATGATCTAGGACCAGAATATATCACTTGTATTTTAGAAGCAAAACCATGGGTTTGCTAATGAAAATGTTTTAGCATTTGCCAGACATTGTGACAGGTTTATGGTCCAAGTGAAGTAAGAGGAAGCATTTTTTTGGTGAAGCTGTCAGTGTAGGGAGTTTTTTGTTCTTTTTTTTATTTTTAAATAATTGGATTTTCTTTCCTCGTTCTTAAAAATACCCAGTAAGCTTTCTTTGCAACCATTAACTTGTACATAGCACACGCAGCATTAGAGCTAGTGTGCCATATAAAATTTTAATTTTCTGAGCTTAATAGAGTATTTAAATGTCTGTGCAAGCAAGAGAAAAAAAAAGTATATTCTTTGTGCCTTGTATTTTGTGGGGAGAGCTATCAGTATAAGCTGGTAAAGTTTTGTATGAAGAAAACCCTGAGGGGCAAAACCGAGCTGTATAGATGGTGAGATTTTAGGTTTTAATGTATTTGTTCCAGCTCTTAAAAATTTTTGAATGTATATAGGAATATGTTGAAAAATGTAGATATATGCCACAGAGTCTATGTATTGTATAAAAGATGGCTCTAGAAAACTCAATTTCGGTACTTTGGCCGGAAGAAAACAAATACTTGCACATTAATGCGATTGTTTATTTTTGTACCAAAGACAAATGCAACTGATATGGCGAACTGCCAGTCTAAGTAAAGTTTTGCACAGCTTATATGATACTGTACTGAATGTAAAAACAAAAGAAAAAAAGAAAAAAAATTAAAGGTCAGGGTTAGGGATCTTACTGAACTGTGAATTTTTTTGTTTGGGTCCAATTATCTACAGAAGGAGCATTCATACATAACAATATTATTTTGCTGTTCTTGTAGTTCGCTTCCATGGTAGATAAGTTGGTGGCCGTCTTGGAGTCTTTAAATCTTTTTTCTCTGCACTTACTGTAGGAGATTTTAATATATTTGGATTTTAGTAAGCTATTGGTAAAATAGTTTTCGACTTTGAGAATTTAAAAAAAAAAAAAAGTATTTAGCTTGTTGTAGTATACTTCCACCAAACAACCAAAATAAAATTATTTTTATTGTAACGTGTATATATGTAAAGAAGAAAAAAAAAAAAGAGCTACAAATATCTAATTCCTTAGTTGCCACTTTTCCAGTTGATGTATTATTATTATGCATGTGATGTTTCCAAGGATCAACACAGGCTTCAAACAAAACAAAACAAAAAAAATTTATAGACTTTTATATTTTTGTACAGGTATTTCGAAACTAGCTTCTTCAGACTTATATGTGACTTATTCTTGTTAATTCAGTAGTTTCTATGATTGAAGAATATTAACACAAAGTTCTTATTTGCTCTTCTGCTAATAAGAGTTGGCTTTGTAGTCAGTGTTAACGTACAGATTAAAAGCTTTAGCCTTTGATGAGAAAGTCCTTTATCTCAAGGCAAGATCATTCTCTGGTTTCATGGACCCCCCTCTCCTTTTCCTCCCTGTTCTTTCTCTCCCTATTTAAAGATGACAAAACACTGTTTACTGAAAATAGAAATACCAAATATTTTCAAATGTAGCTGCTGAAAAAAAAATGCAAAAGTCCATGAAGGCTTTCTCCCCACTCCCTTTGGGGAATTTCTCCACTTTGTTTCTAGTTTGTCTGAGTTTGTTTGTACTGTGATTCCTTTTTGTTTATAAGTAGATTATTTTTATATCCAAGCTTGTACTATTAAGAGAAAAAAACATGAATTGGTAACAGTGCAGGAAAAGTGGCCCGTGAAGGTGGTGGCCCTGCCACACTCACAGCTTCCTTTGTACCTAAATATTTTGGAAGACTCAAAAGGGAGGAGGAGGCCAAAATACCACTACTGAGCTGTACAGAAAGTCTTTCCTACAGGAGACTGAACAAATACCCAGGGCAATTTAGGCAAAACTCTGTAAATCCACTTAAGGCTTGCAAAATCAGAGTGGAATGTGGGTGTTTTCCTTTGAGGCTTTGTGTTGTTGTTGTTGTTGTTTGGGTGAGGTGAGAATTGGCTGCTGCTTTCCACGGTGGGTCTGGTGTATTCCTCTTGTTCTTGTGGAGCTGCCCAGGACCCCAAAAACCCCGACAGAGAATGTGTCCTGTGAGGTGCAGGCTGTGCCCGGGCAGGGCTGGCACACAGAGCTTGTCCCTGTGCTCCATCCGAACCCTGCAGGCGAGGCAGAGCCTCTGAACATTGAGAGAGAACAGTCTGAAATCAGGTAGAAACTTCTGTGACAAATTCAACTGACAAGGTATTTAAAAGCCCCCCACCCCCCTTTTTTTTTTTTTTCAATGCCTGGCGATCCTGGGCAACACACAACTTTATAGCTTTTTATTTTTGTCTGAAAACCAGACTATGATTTTGGTCTCGCATTTCAAAGTAGACTTTGAATCTTTAGTGAGTTCCATACCCTCGCATTTCAGTGTTTCCTATGTATTATTTTAAGTTAAAGCTTTGAAATAGTTGAGCTTTTTAATGTTGACACTTTATTTTGTAACTATTTATATGTATGTATATCTTAGAAAAGCACTTTGTTTAAAAAAAAAAAAAAGACGAAAAAGAAAAAAAAAAAAAGAAACTGCGTTTTATATGATTCCTGCCACTTGCTGCTAACTCTGGGCTGGTCAGAATGCTGCAGCGATACTTGAGATAAATAAAACCTGGCAGTAAAATGTAGAGTAAAGATAAGACCTTTTGGTGGTTTAACTTTATCATAAAGGTGACATAGGCAAGCTGTGCAGCTTTACATTTTAACCAGGGGACTCTGTGGCATTTAAACCGTCTAGAAATGGTTGTACTTTAATGCCAGTAACAATCTGCTTCCTCTAGTGTCATTAAAATATATACATTTAGTGTATACTTATCACAAACAAAAATCTTATAAGGGTATAAAAACCAACAAATGTACATGTTCTGTTCTTTGGCAATTGTGGCATGCGTTTTGGGGTGATCTTTAGAGAAGACCATTTTCTAAAGATGTTCAGTGTTCATACATAGTATGTGGATCTTTACAAAGTCCTGGTTTGTTTGTTTTTTTTTTGTTTGTTTGTTTTTGAGTGTAGGCATTGTGAATATTCACTTTTAATCCTATATCCAAAAACAATGATCTATTTTTTTGATTTAATACAACCAGAAGCTCTTCCTTTTTCTGATACACTGGATTCTCTAGGATTTGTTTCCATATTAAAAGCATGCTGTCATAACTGCTCTTGTCGAGATCTCGTCAGTCTGAACGTAGGTGCCACACTTGGAATCGATGGGCTGCTTGTTCTGCTGTACCATGTATGACCCTCGTCCTTCCCCCCTCCCTTCATGACAGATGATGATGTGGCTTTATATTGTGCCTTACTTGTACATCTAGAATTAAGTGTTTTTCATTCCCTCTGAACTCGTCAAAGCTCCTGAGATGGAATCAGAGCTGATGAAAGCGTGCTGGAGCGAGTGTGGATAGGGCTGATTTCAGTTTCTCTCAGTAGTCCTTTTGTATTTCTATGGAAGACCAGTTTTTGAATGGCCTTGCAAAATGTGGGGGTGCTCCTGAAGGGTGTTTTTAAACCCAAAACCCCTTTTGCTAACGCTTCCTTTTATGGTTTATTGAACACATTTACTGATACTTGGTGAGTACTTTTTGTTTTTTGGGATGAGAGAGACTCACTACTAAAGCTATGTTTACGTGTGGATGGGCTGGCTTTTCTTATCATACCAGTTGAAATCATTGTGATATAATAAAATTGCATTGCTGTAAAGCTGATGTGAGAGTCAGGTTCAGCTGTGTTCAGATCCTAATTTATAGATTGACCTTTTTTCCATACCAAGAGGGCCGGAGAAAAGTTGGGGTTTTTAAAAAAAGCCAACAAACGAAAAATCAACCTAAAATGGATGGAAGGGTCTTTTAACTAACCTAAAAGCAAACAGACACTTTGGAAATATAGAGGTGTCAGCTTAAAATTTATTTTTAAAAGACACTCCCCCAGTATTTATCTAATATTTGCCTTCAATAATGAAACAGCTTATTCACAACTATAATGACTGGATGTGCTTTTCCATAAATCATTTAAACATAGCTTTTTTTTTTTTTTTTTAAGCTCTAAAAGGTTTTATCAGGAGAATTTCCAAGGGTTGTATCCAATCTGCCTCCAGCAGAAATAGCAAATGCAGTTCTGTTCCTCAAACGTGCTTGCTCGTCTTCCTGAAATTCTGCTGAGGCACAACCCAGTTCTGGACCGTGAATGTCAGGATCTGTATTTGGCCTTGAGACCTGAGTTTCAAGAGTGCATCTAATCATGATTTGAATTTCTTTTGGAGGCTTCAGTTGGAATCACCTCGTGGAGTGTGCTGCTAGATGTGGTCTTGGCTTGTTGACACAGCCTTGCACACAGCTGAGGTTTATTTTGTTTACCCCAGGGATCGTGTGAAGTACATTTCAAACAGTTGCTGCCTCAGTGACTGATCCTTCTTGTAACTGTATTAAGGGCATTAGTTTGTTGAGAAAGCACCACTCTTGAATATTTCCCAATGTAAATTGGGATTCTTCAATGTCATTAATCAAAGATGGCACTTTCAGGCTGTATCTTCTTTGCAGCAAACAAAAATCTCTGTCTTTCTACAACTTGCATTTCACAATATGCCGTGTTTTCCCTCCAGTGCTTCTAGAAGGTGTCTTTGCACTCTGAATATAATCCTCAGCCTTTTAGACATCCATGAACTTCCACAGGAGCAAATACTGACTCTGCATTTATTGTCTTTTTAATGAGCTGTGGAGATAAAAGTGGAACCAGAGCTCTTTTAAGTCACACTGGCAATTTTTTGTTTCCCCCATAAAAAGAAATAAAACCCCAAATTTTTTAGCTAATACCGTTGTTCAGAGTTTTTCTGGAGTTTAAAATATTTCGTAGTTGGGTATCCTTTAAAGTCAAATTTGGGTGATTTAACTAGCTCCTGTAAGGAAAACTTTTGGATTGGATTTGGTATTGGGAAAAGCACATCGCACTCTATCAAAATCTTCTGATCAGGAAACAGAACCTAGTCAGAAAATTTAATTTTAATCTCTCTTATAATGATGGATATTCATACATTCTGATTGGAATTGCCTATCTTCCTTGAATATATCCAGGGAAAACTTACTGCTCAGTATTTGTGGTTGGGTGAATTCTTAAGGCTGATGGCACATACAGATGCAAAAAAAAAAAAAAAAAAAAGGCATTTTAAACAAAACATGGCATCCTGTTCCGCCTGTGCTTGGGGTCATGATTGTAATGCTGTCCTTGATATTCTATAATCAACTTCCAACTGGAGCTCAGAAAAACTTACTGAAAGTCTTGTCTCTGTTAGAAAATAAATTTACCTTGTTCAAAGCATGATCTGTTAAGAGTTGCAATGTTAAATGTTGGTTAATAGTTGTGCAGTTTTATTTTTTTGAAAAGAGGCACAATTAAACTATTGACTTTGTTTACTCTGTCACCCTTGATCCCTAGCACTTCTATTCAGATACAAATTCATCAATGTATGCAACATCCTTTGTAATTTAAAATAAAAATTGTGGAGGAAATACTGTCTGGAATCACTGTGTGTGTGGAATGATAGTGAATGGCATCTGCTGCCTTGAGCTACATCCCCGGTCTCCTGGTATTTCCAGGAACTTTCATTCGGAAGGGATGACAGCTAGGTAAGGAAATATCTGGTTTTTCCTTCCTCGTGATCAGAGCTGCCTCTGCTGGGTCAGTGCGGGGCCATCTGGAGAACCTGGATTAGAGCCTGGAGAACCGGGCTCCCTGCAGCTCCTGTGGAAATGTCTCCAGCTCCTTTGTCCAAAGGGTCCGAGGGCAGCAGGGGAAGGACACAGCACAGGGGGGAATTTGTGGGAAAAGCAAAGGGTCATTGCCCTGCTGCTCATTTTGGGGGCACAGAAGCGACCTCGTGTTCCCCCACCCTGCTCATGGCCAGCGTCAGCCTGGCCTGACCAGAACCCAAGGAGGTTTTGGATGTAAACCTGGAACTCCTCCAGGGGAACCTTGGGGCTCTGCACAACTCCCTGACAGGAGGGGACAGCTGGGGAATGGGGATCTGCTCCAGGGAACAGGGACAGGAGGACAGGGGAGGCTCAGGGTGGACAGCAGCAGGAATTTCTCCATGGAAAGGGTGACTAAACATTGGAAGGAGCTCCCAGGGAGGTTTGGATCCCCATCCCTGGAGTGTCCAAGGAAGGGCTGGAGGTGACATTCAGTGCTCTGGGCTGGGGACAAGCTGAGGATGGGGCACAACTCGATGGGTTCCAGAGGCGTTCTTTAACTTCGGCGATCCCGGAATTCTGTTGTTCATCCCAGGGCCCGTGGATCAGCACATTCCCTGCGCCCCCGCTCCGGCCCCTCAACCCCGGCCCTGGCCTCTCAGCCCCAGCCCCGGCCCCTCAGCCCCGGCCCCTCAGCCCCGGTCTCGCCACGTCCCCTCGGTCGCGGTCCCGGTCCCGGTCCCGCCACGTCCCCTCACCCCGCCCGCCGCCCGCAGGGGGCGCCCGCGCGCTCCCCGGCCCTTCCCGGCCCTGCCCGGCCAAGATGGCGGCGGCGGCCGCGGCCGTGCCGCTGCGGGTCTGTCACCAGGAGATCGTCAAGTTCGACCTGGAGATCAAGGCGGCCGTGCAGGTACCGCCGCCAGCCCCGGGACACCTCGGCACGGCCACGGCGAGAGCCGGGCCCGAGCTGAGCTCGCCGTTGTGTTCCAGGACATCCGGGACTGCCCAGGGCCGCTCAGCGCCCTCACGGAGCTCAATGCCGCCGTGAAGGAGAAGTTCCGACAGCTCCGCGACCGCATCCAGGTGAGGAGTCCTGAGGGGGCTGCTGAGGGTACCGAGCTGTGCTCCGGGCCCACCGGCTGTGGTTTAGGGGTCCCGGCTGTGCTTTGTGGGGTGCCGGCCCAGAGCTGTGAGTTCCTGCCGGGTTTGGGGTGTTCTGCTCGTGTTTTAGGGGATCCCTTGAGTTTGGGGGTGCCGGCTGTGATTTGGTGATTCACAGCCCTGGACTGGGGGTTTATCAGATAAATCTGTTCCGAATCCGCTCCCCGGCCGGGGCTGGGCTGTTGCGGGTGGACGGTGAGGTTTTGGTGTTTGTGCTCTCGGCCAAAGGAGCTGGAGCAGATGGCGAAGGAGCAGGACAAGGAGTCGGAGAAACAAGCCTTGCTGCGAGAGGTGGAGAACCACAAGAAGCAAATGCTCAGGTGGGTCTGGCAGCCGGTGCTGTTCCCGAATCCGCTGTAACCAGAGATGGGCTGACTTTGGTGCAGCGTCTCTCAGAGTCGTGTTTTGCCCCAGACCAAGAGGTCAGGGACAGAAAGGTGCAACTCCCACCTCCTGTCCTGACTTCCTAAGTCTGGTCTGTCCCTTTTAGCACTTGAGCTCGAAAGGGGTGGCTTTGGAGTCTGTTGTTTCACAGCTGGCACAGTTTTCTTCTTCCCTTGCTTCATAAATGAGGAGTGGGAATGTCAGGGTAGAATGTTGTTGTTGTGTGTAGGAATCCAGAGAAAGTGAGAGGCTGAGGGAGCTGGGAAAGGGCTCAGCCTGCAGAAAAGGAGGCTCAGGGGGGACCCTGTGGCTCTGCACAATTCCCTGACAGCAGGGGACAGCCAGGTGGACATCCAGGATGAGATGAAACAGCCTCAGGGGAGCCCAGGGTGGACAACAGCACGAATTTCTCCATGGAAAGGGTGCTCAGGGATTGGAACTGCCCAGGGAGGTTTGGATCCCCATCCCTGGAGGTGGCACTCGGTGCTCTGGGCTGGGGACAAGGTGGGGATTGGGCACAGCTTGGACTGGATGATCTTGGAAGTATTTTCCAGGTCAAATATTTCTTGGATTCTGAGGGTCCTTGCATGTATCAGGGGTGCCCAGTTACAGTGGTGGCTGCTTTGTGAAAATTGTCTGAGCTTGCAAGGTGCTCCCATCACATTACAACACTCTGCTCTTGTGATTTCAGCAACCAGGCAGCCTGGAGAAAGGCAAATCTGGCCTGCAAAATTGCTATTGACAACTCTGAGAAAGATCAGCTGCTGCAGGGAAGAGACATCTTAAGACAAAGGTATTGGACTGTCCCACTGTACTGTGGGGTTTAAACAGTGTCTCCTATATTCACTCATTTTAAATGGAAGTTACATATTTCTAAGTTATTTAATTATATCGAGTGTAGCTTTTCTTTTATTTCATTTCCCTTTTGTGAAGATTTGGGCTGTTAAGGATTGTGATGAACTCGGGTTTTTTTGGCACTGGCATGTCTAAGCGGAAAAGAGGATAAATTAAACTTCATAGTTTTACATACTGTCCTTTACATTAATTCCAGATAGGTTCTGGAAAAGAGCAGGATCATTATCCAGGCTGTTTTCACATACAGAACTGGATGTGAGTGTGTGCAGGCTGTGTATTGAAAGCAACAGCTGGGATACTCAGGAGAATAAAATGGGTTTGTGCTGGTGCTCCCATAGCAGCTCATGGAGTTACACAGTCCTGGGTGAACAAGTGGTGAAATACAGGCCCCTCTGAGATTCTGGGCTGTTGCTTGGGCTCAGGACGTTCATATTTTGTGATTATTTTTTATTGTTTAGTGAAAATAATCTGAATTTCTCATGCAGTGAAAGCCAGTTGTGTCTTCTGTACACTGCAGAGATGTTTAGTGTCAAGTACTATTCTAATCTCCTTATCAGCAGCATTTTCCCAGAGTATCCAAAAGAATAATTTTACCCCTTCCTGCTTTGTTTTTTTTTTTCTTTTTCAGGAAGACCACAAAGGAAAGTCTGGCAGAGAGTGCAAGCAACATCACAGAGAGTCTGATGGGCATCAGCAGGATGATGTCCCAGCAGGTGCAGCAGAGTGAGGAGACTGTGCAGACCTTAGGTACAGCTGGAATTTGGGCATGGATGGGGAGATGGGAGCACCTTTGGTCAGCTCTGTCAGCAGAGTAGGAGAATGTGCTGCAATGATGGTCAGCAGAACTCCTCTAACAGCTGGACATAAACAGGAAATATCAGTGTACTTTGTGTGGGGTTTCTGTTTCATGATCATGAGAAGGAAAAGGGGTCAGGATCACGTTTAGTGTCCTGTAAAAGCAACGTGAGCTCAACTGCCCAGAGTGTGTTTGGTGTTACTGTGTGCCACTGTCCTGGCGTGGATTTGGGAACGGCAGAGGGAACACAACATGGATACAAGTCCCTGCACAGAGGAAGGAGTGTCTGGAAAGCTGCTTCCAGCCAGGCTCCAGCTGGGATGGCTGAGACACTGAGATCAAGTGCCTTGAACCCGAGGTCACTTGCTCTGTCAGCAGTGCATCAGGGACTGTGAAACCAAGATTTCACCCAGTTCCTTGGCTTTGACTCCTAAAACAATAAATCAAGTGACCTGTCAGAACTGGTGATTCATGGAGCATTTGGAAGTTGCTGCCTGGGCCTCTTCCTAACTGAGCTTTTGGGCAGGAGGGCACTTTTAAAGACAAGGATAAATAACACAAGTTTGCCCTCCTCGCTTTCTGCCCCATGTGAGGGTGGCAGCTGGGCACAGTTTGTTGCTGCAGGAGTTGCATGTTCCTTGTCCCATTAAAAGGACAGTTTGGCAGGCACTTCTTCACCCTCTTTCTGAATGAACAGCACTTGGAATCCATCAAGGGAAAAACTACCAAAGGTCATTTACAAAACCCAGCTGCAAATTCTGAGTTAGTAGTGGGAATTCCTGTTTCCTGAGCATTCCCTGGGATGCAGTGAGTGTTTGAGGCTGTGGAGCAGGGAAGCTCTGCTTTGTCATTAACTCTGGGAAACAAGTTGTCTGTTTTCACTTGGATCAAAAATGCCTTTTGAAATGGGATGGGACAAAGTGTTTTGCAAAATATTGCAGACCTATTTCTGCTCTGGTTTTGTGAAGCAGACAATGCTGGATTTGACCTTTCTGTGAGCAAGCAGGGCAGTGTGGGGTGGTGCAGTGTTCTACAGGCTGTGCTTTCTGTAAAGCAGAAAAAAGGAGATTCCAGGGCTTTTGCTTTCATTTAGCAATTTGAAAGGAGCAAGGCTCAGAAGTTTGAGGCAAGTGTTTGTTTTCTCACACACTTCTAGTTGACCCTTCTCATTTTTCTTTGGCAAAAAATTGCTATGTGTGTCAAAAAGGACTGTTAAAAACTGTTTAAGCTGAATAATTCTGCAAGGCCTTTTGAATCACACTGATTTACTGCTGGGGCTTGGGGGAGCACTTCCAGTGGTGCAATTAATATTTCCAAATGTTGCCCTGTCCTGCTGCTGATGATTTCTCTCTCTAGCACAGTTTCTATTTCACCCAGCTTCCAGCAGTGCTGACTGAAAAACCTGAACTAGATTTGACCTGCTAACCCAAAAATTCAAACTTCAGGAATCTCTAAGCTTTTCAGTGCTCTTATTTTGCTTTGCACTTTTCCTCAGCACATCAGCACCCCTGAGCTGTGAGAACTCTCTGTGTCTGT